CCAAAATTGTGCATACAGTTTGATCTGCCTGCGTAGATTAAGGAAAGAACTTGTTACTAGCTCTAGAAGAACAAGGTGGGCAATGGAGAACTCATGAAAAAAAAAAAAAGCTACAGTGGCACGAGGAGGGAGCTTCTCCTTATCAGAGCCAGGTTTCGATCCTGGGACCTGTGGGTTATGGGCCCACCACGCTTCCGCTGCGCCACTCTGATTTGTTGAGACCGATGGCTGCATTAAAACTATTTATTCAAAATGAAGAGGCTTCCCATATCCTCCTTTAGTCAAATTTAGAGCTTGACATTAATCCCTTTTTTATTCTTCCATGGATGGAAAATCTAAGTATGACCACTGTCTTGCATGGTTTATATGTTGAAATCAATGCGTGTGTTTATGAATTTTTAGCTTCAAAACTATAATGTGTTGCTCAGCAACATTGATTTTGAAAAACAGAGACTGTAGAAGATAACCCTTTTTGACTTGCTCCAAAAACTTCTAAAATGGCTGCTCAAAGAATAGAGAAACGGCGAAGGAAGAAGAAAAAAAAAATTAATGTAATGGCTTTTTATCTGAAAATTGATTTTCTACATTTCCTTGTGCAGTTCTAATGTTATTGTATTTGTAGCTGCAAATTGAAGAAATGCGCAGATCGATCTTACACGGAATGAACCACAACATTCCCGGCAACGTCAGCGGGGGAGAAAGCCAAGATCATGAGAGCCGCCATGATCCCAACAGGAAAGAAAAGCAGCATCAAGGGCGGAGGAGGAAGGGGCGGCAGCATCAACGGAAGAACCAACATAGACGCCGCCAGTACCAGCAGCAACACAAAACCCCCTATCCCAAAACACTTGGCCATGCTCTTACAATCCTTCATCATCAAAATTTCTATCATCTGAGAATATCAGAACCCAGTTTGGCTACTCTTCAGATCAGAAAACTCTGTTTTACTTTTAACTTGACAAGAGAGTTTTGAGTTTGAGGTGTAGAAATGGAGGTTTTGTGTGTGTATATATATAGTTGGTGAAATGAGGGTGGATGATCTACGCGTTGATTTTGTGCATGTATATACATTTATATCTAGTTGGTGAGATAAGGAAGGATGATCTAAGCAGTTGATTTTATAAGGGAAAATCTGGTCTTTGAGTCTTGGTCCGAATCAGACAGAATCAAGGGAGAGAGATCCCAATATATTTAGAGACATTTAACTATGTGATTTTGAACACTTTTCAGTGATTGATAAAAAAAAAAACGTAATCAAAGTTGTTCTGTTTTTTGGCTTTTGTGTTTTGTCTTTTTGGTTGTGATCCGTTTAGGCATCATTTTCAATTTGTCTGAGTATTACTTATTTTACTGCCGATTTTATGGTTATGGGTTTTTTAAATTAAAATTTTTAAATTTTAAATTTTAAAATGAATTTAAATTTTAAAAGAATATGGGAATAAAAGGATTATTTTTATATAACGCATCATCAACATAAAAAAAAAAAAAAGATTTTTTTATTTTATACTCTTAAAGTACAAAATAAAAATACAATAAATACATATTTTTATAATTAATTTTTATTAAAAATATAAATATTGACTCTTATTTAATCAATTAATTAATTAAAATTATTTATGTGTCAATGATATTAAATTATATATTAATTTTATAATTTTTAATATAAATTAATTATAAAAAATATATTTATTATACTATTAACATGTCCCTTAAAGATACAAGTAAAAAAAATCAAATAAAAAAAAAAGGTATGAATATGACCGTATGTGTCAAATTAAGCGCTGGGCAACTTATCCAGCTATAATAAAATTTATGTTTTTCATTGTGCTTTTCCAATGTTTATTATTGGGGGCGATAAAATTTTTTCAATATCGACCCAGCTAACTGAGGTATCCGTACTCTTTTTTTTTTTTTGGTTTTTTTCCATCATAGTATATTAACGCTTGCATTGGTTGCTAAGTCGAAATTATGTTATTGTGTCAAAATATGGAAAGGAGTTGAGAAAATGTAGAAAAACATGACCCTAAAATTTGACACACTATTCACGTTTTTCAAATGAACAAAGTCATGCCTTTTGATTCCACCAACTGTCAAGGATTGAAGCATTGCCAGGAAATAGCTAGAAAGGAATTAAAGTCCAAATTGGGGGCTATCTATTCTGGTTTTTCTCCAGCTTTAAAAGAAGGACATATTTCAGACTAGGGCAGCAAAATCATGAATCCCTTTCATTTAGGATCATTTTAAACATTTTATTTATGGAAAAATTGGGTTTGAGAAGGTTGCTCGGTGATAACATCCAATATGGTGGAATAATCCTCCACGACTTAAATATACTCTTTTTGGGCTCCCTATGCTCTTATAACATATAACAAAAGATATTTTTTCATTTTTTATAAATTTCTTACATTTTAAAATAAATAACATGTATTAATTTGATAAATAATATAACATAATCTTAAATAAATATTTTTTAACTATTTATTTAAAATTAATAATAGATTATACAATATAAAATTATCACACAAAGGAATAAAAAAAAAAAGAGAAAAATAAAGAGAGCCAAAGATCTTATGTTGGCAGAAGTAAAGACCAATATGAGGAGAACATGCACACAGAAAAAGAAAAAGATATGATGAATAATAAAGAATGAGATTGAAAGATGCTCCCAAAATCCAAGAAAATACTCAACGTCCCAGTTCAATGGATGAGCCTGGGGTGAGCAGAGCTGGCGTATCCGACACAACTGCAGGATAACAGCGCTGAGATCATTGCATCAAAATGATTGTGATTGGTTATCTGCCTTCTTCTGCCCCCAAGTTGGTGCAATTGCACTTTTGGGATGCACCGAATGTGGAGTGAAACTCACCTCCTCAGCTGGTGGTAAAATGAAAACCTTCTGTACCACGGCATCACAGGCCTGCCATACAACGATTTAATGATAATTCGACATTTTTAGTAAGATTCATTTAAACTATTAGGTGCCTGTATACATTTCTTAGACCATGTTTTTAACAAGATTCGTGTGGCTTTTGGGTGTGACCCTACTAGGGACTTGTTAATTTGTTTGATCCATTTTGACTAGAGAAAATGTACGCTTAAAATATCAGTCTGTTTCCATCAGATTGTCATTATCATTTTCACCTACTATTTCTTCCTCAGTTTTCCAGCTGAAGTGCCAAGACATAAAAAATCAACATCCCCAAGTGGGCTTACTTTGGACTACCCTCTAAATCTAAATATGCATCAGAGGTTAGTGACATAAAATCCTTAAGAAGAATTTCTCATTTCTCAATAAAAAAGGAAGCAGCATCTATCTAGTCATGATAACAGCATGCATTGTCGCTACTGTTTGTGTTTATCTACGATCAAGAAAAAAAAAAAAGGGCCTAGAAACAATGTAGGCACGAGTTGCCTGTTATGCGCCACTATGCAAACTTTTACTTATGCATTGATGAATCAACTTAAACTTGAGTTCTCCGCTTCACTTGCTGACTTGTTGCAAGCCACTTGGAGAAGCCATCCTCCAAGGCGCCCTTCATCCATGGATGCCTGCAACTCTCTACTGCTTCAGGTATGGTAAGCCAACTTCGAGTCCGAGTGTTTCGCTCTGGCCATGCATCTAACTCCTCTGTAACGAACAAAGCAAACATCGCAGCCTTACATAAACCTTCAGGGCTGAATTCGTCCTGGTGTGTTTTACTCTTAAAATGATACCATCCTATGAAGTCCTGCAACAAGCAGCATTTACAAGAGTTGGTCCAATTGACATCTCAGTAGTAAGAGTTATGGTCATAGAGGGATTACTCCAAACCTCATGTTAAACAGTTACTGGTAAACAAAATCCAAAGAATACAAGTCTAGAAGTACAACAGGAATTGTTTTGTGACTCCAAAAACATTCTCTGATCCACAGGCGTTTTCCTCCATCTGCTATCATGACAGGAAAGTTTCCTACAAGTCAAACATACTGCTATTCCCCAATGAGTTTTAGACTTGTTACATGATGAACTTACTCAGCCTACTGACTTTTGTTCGCAGTATCACATATGAACATGTATCACATGCATGTTAATTGCTAAAAAATTTCATCAACTTTTTCTTTTTAAGGTAATCCTTAGACATCATGTCAATAATACTAATAGAGACCATCCAAACACAGAAAGAAAGAGCAGCAAAACGTAATTTAAGAGGAAATCTCCTTCATTCCACTGGGTACCATAAAAATGCAGCCAACCCAAAGTTAGACTACACATGGACATTGTTCAGCACAACACAGCACCAAAGTACAGAAGGCAATCAACCCCACAGCAAACTATCATGATGGTAACAAAAACAGCTTAACTAAGCCTTTTTTCGTGTGAGTATAACTAAGCCAATTTTACACATGGCGTACAAAGATCTAAGTCAAAAGACTTTAACCAAGAAATAAAATAATTTGCTAATTTTTTGTTATTAAGAGAAAAAATGCATTTATCAAGGTGACTAAAGTATAATTTCACCATCAGATTCCCCCGCACTCCAGCTTCTTCAACAGCTTCCCTTACTGCAGCCTCCTCAACAGTTTCGTCATTCTCCCAGCCCCCCTGAAAGATGATACAAACTAAATAACTCTAAAGTTTTCACTAGAAAGTTCCTCTTTTGTTCAGATATAAAAAGAACAACAGACAAACAAATTAACCAAGCAGCTAACTTATTAGGTTTCCTGAATAACAGACGAAGTCTAAGTGTATTATGTTGGCTATTCAAATGCATTTATCTATAACTTTGTTAATGTGCCACCCATTAATAGTGTAAAAAACATATCTATAAGCTGAAAGACAAAATAGTAGACTCTTTTGCTCATATGTTCACCAATAGAAAACCATTGATGAATCAACTGGCCTAAACTCCTAAACTAGCAAGATTATAAAAAATTAATCAAATCACAAGTCTTGCTCCTAAAAATCACATAAGCATTTTCTAGTTTGTCATAAACTTTCAGATGACAGACTACAAATGACTCTGGCCACATATATTATATCTTTTATTGATCCAAAGCAGAATAAAGCCCAATAAAGGATTACCAAGGGCCCAACTCAAAATTTACTAAGCAACAAATAAGCTAACATTCCGCAAGTTTCATATGATATCTTAATCTTAGGTGCTGTTTAGGGAAGTTTTGTATTGTGCTGTAGAACAGAAACAAATTGGCAGAAATCTTATGAATGAAAGGCATACATTGCAATAGAAGTTCATTAAAATCACAACTTTATACCTTTGGAAACAAAAGGCCTGGTCCACTAGGTGAGTTAATCATCAATACCTCAACCACCTTTTCAGAGTTATTATCACCAGTCTCATTTGAATTTCTATACCTAAATGGAATACACCTGTAAAAGAAGAAACTTAAAAAATTAGCACACATAGAGCAGATATTAATATAGTTTTCTTAACCCATAATTCAAAGATAACTTTAAGCACTCCCATAAGTCAAAACCCCATTCTAGAACATTCAGAATGAAAATTCTAAAATCTAAGCGTGCAAGAAATTCCCTTTTGAACTCCCTTAAGAACTTAAACCCGCAAACTAGAGATGAAAATCATAAACAAACCCAAGTCCAATTCTAATATACCATGTAATAGACAATTCTTTAAAATTATTAGTAACATAGTGTTCCGCATGCTTCCAATTAAACAAGATGTATGCATTTCAATGATATATCAATATCAACCATTCCATCACTTGACTCAAAGTGAACATCTTTTGCACAACTAGAAAACCCACCAAAACCCTCCTGCAGAACCCAAAAAAGAAACAAACTTCACAACCAAGTGGAAAACAATGACAAACAAAACACAACTGCTTGCTCTCTTCAAGTAAACGAATGAACTTTCAACCAAATTGCACCAACCACATACATACTAAACACATCAACAAAAACCTATACGCACACAAGTTCACCAGTCACAATCACGAACAATATACGCAATTAAGTGAACATACCCGGCGACAAGGCGACAACCGGCCTCGTATCGTTGCTGAAGCCGACCAGTACGGGCCACCAAATCAGACATAATCCTAAAAAACACCAAAATTTTCTTATAATCTCAAATTGTGGGACTTTCAACACGACTGGTCATCGTTTTTGTGGACGCCCATTGGCTCATTACCAAACAATTTTCAGGCATGCAGAGGGAAACACCCACAGCACTGCTGGCCCCGGTTTCAATGGCGATGATGAATGCTACGTGATATGATCCAATGGGTGTCGAGTTTATGCGTACTTTGGTTTAAAAATCTTTGCTTTTTTAGGGTTTGAGCATTCAGGATTGCAGAGTTTTTCAGGTTTTGGGAGGAAGAAAAGGCCGGGGCGTGGCGGGGCTAAGCGAGGCCAAGGCGGGGCCC